CATGCAACAACCCCAAAGCCAAAAGAAAACAAGCAAACAAAGAAAATACTTTATAAGAACTTTATGACAGGGATAAGCAATCACATTCCAATAATCAGCCTGAATGTGAATGGACTAAATGCACCACTGAAAAGGCACAGAATGGCAGACTGGATAAGAAACCATGACCCAATTATTTGCTACATCCAGGAGACTCATCTCACCACAATGGACACACACAGACTCAAAGTTAAAGGATGGAAAACAAATTTCTGGCACATGGATCACAAAAGAAGGCAGGAGTTGTAATCTTAATATCAGACAAAACAACCTTTGAGCTATCAAAAATTTTATTTTTATTTTTTTGAGTAGGAGTCTCACTCTGTCACCCAGACTGGAGTGCAGTAGCCACTCGTGGCCACCGCAGCCTCGACCTGCTGGGCTCCGGCAATCCTTCCACCTCAGCCTTCCAAGTAGCCAGAACTGCAGGTGTGTGCTACCACGCCCAGCTGATTTTTTGATTTATTGTAAATCTGCCCAGGCGGGTCTCGAACCCACAGGCTCAGGCAATCCACTCACCTCAGCGTCCCAAAGGCGTGGGATTACAGGCTGAGCCACCGAGCCTGGCATTATCAAAAATTTTAAAAGATGCAAAAGGACACTACATAATGATAAAAGGTTCAATACATCAACAAGAAACATCCACCCTAAACATATAAGCACCCAACACAGGAGCACCAGCATTTATGAAGCAACTATTAAGTAAACTAAAAAAGATATTGACTCTATCACTATTATGCAGGGGACTTGAATTTCCTACTAATAGACCTAGATAGATCAAAAAGGCAAAAAAATCAAAAAGGACATTCAGAACCTAAACTTGACCCTTGACCAAATGGATTTATTCAATACCCACAAATTATTACACCAGACAGACACAGAATATACATTCTACTCATCACCACATGGAATGTATTCCATGATCAATCACATCCTTGGCCATAAATCAAGCATAAACAAATTCCATAAGGTTGAAATCTTGCCATGCACAATCTCAGACTACAGCGGAATAAAAAAAATATATATCAACACCAACAACATTTTCCCAAAGCCTACAAGGACATGGACTCTAAACAGTCTGACACTGAACAACTACTGGGTCAACACTGAAATCAAAGCAGAAATTAAAGGACTCCTGGAAACAATTGAAAATGAAGAAACATCTTACCAAAACCTCTGGGATGCCATGAAAACAGTTCTAAGAGGGCAATTCTTAACTCTATGTGAACACATCAAGAAAATGGAAAGATCAGAAGTTAAGAGCCTAACAAATCACCTAAGAGAGCTGGTAAGAGAAGACCACCATAACCCCAACTTTAGCAGAAGAATTCATATCACCAAAATAAGAGCCCAAATGCGAGACATAGAAGACAAAAATATTATAGAAAACATAACCAAAACAAAAAGCTGGTTCTTTGAAAGAATCAACAAGATTGATGAAATTCTAGCCAGAATGATCAAGAAAAAGAGAGAAAAAGCCCAAATAAACACAACAAGAAATACAAAAGATCAACTCACAGCTGACCCTGAAGAAATACAAAAGACTATCAGAGATTACTAAGTACACCTGTATGGCAACAAACTTAAAATGGAGGACTTTCTGACATCACACAACCTCCCCAGGTTGAAACAGGAAGACACTGAGGCACTAAATAGACCAATAACAATCCAGGAAATTGACTATGTCATAAGAAACCTACCTACAAGAAAAATCCCTGGACCAGATGGCTTTCCAGCAGAATATTACAGAACATACAAGGAGGAGATGATACCAATCCTATTGAATGTACTCCAGGCAATTGAGAAAGATGGAATTTGCCCCAAATCATTTTACGAAGCTAACATCACACTGATATCCAAACTGGGTAAAGATCCAACAAAAAAATAGAACCACAGGTCAATATCCTTTATAAACATAGAAGAAAAATCCTCAATGAGATTCTCGAAAATTGGATCCATTATCACACCTCAAAAATCATCCACTATGACCAAGTAGGCTTCATCCCCAGGATACAGGGCTGGTTCAACATTTGCAAGACCATAAATGTCATTAAATGCATCAACAGATGTAAAAACAAGAACCACATGATTATCTCATTAGATGCAGAAAAGGCTTTTGATAAAATCTAGCATCCCTTCTTGATAAAAACCCTCAAACACCTAGGTACAGAAGGAACATACCTCTAAATAGTAAGTGCCATCTACGATAAACCCACAGCTAGCATATTGCTAAATGGACAAAAACTGGAAACATTTCCCCTGAAAACTGAAACAAGACAAGGCTACCCACTCTCACACCTCTTGTTCAACATTGAGTTGGAAGTTCTAGCTAGGGCAATTAGACAGAAGAAGGAAATCAGGGATATCCAAATAAGAAAAGAGGAAGTCAAGTTATACCTCTTTGCTGATGATATGATTCTATACCTTGAAAATCCAAGAGAATCTGTCAAAAACCTGCTTGAACTGAGAAACAACTTGGCAAAGTCACAGGGTAAAAAATAAATGTGCAAAAGACAGTTGCATTCCTATACACCGACAACAAGCAGGCAGAGACCCAAATTAAAAATCATAATCCTATTCACATAGCCACACAAAAAATGAAATACTTCGGTATCTTCCTAAACAGAGAAGTGAAAGAACTTTACAATGAGAACTACAAAACACAGCTCAAAGAAATCCAAGAAGACACAAACAAATGGAAAAATATTCCATGATCATGGATAGGAAGAGTCAACATTGTTAAAATGTCCATCCTACCAAAGGCAATCTACAGAGTCAATGTAATACCCATTAAGTTACCTACATCTTTCTTCTCAGACCTGTATATGACAGTACAGAAATTCATATGGAAACATAAATGACCACGAATAGCAAAAAAATCTTTAGCAAAAAAACAAAACACAAAAAACCAAAAACCAAAAACTGGAGATATCACATTTCTAGACTTCAAACTTTATTATAAGGCTACAGTAATCAAAACAGCCTTCTATTGGTACAGGAACAGGCACATAGACTAATGGAACAGAATAGAGATTCTGGAAGCAAAGCCTTAATTCCTCACTCAACTCATCTTTGACAAAGCCTACTACAACAACCACTGGGGAGAGGAGAACCTATTCAGCAAATGGTGCTGGGAAAACTGGCTAATCACGTGCAGAAGATTGAAACAGGGACCCCTACCTATCACCATACACAAAAATTAACTCTCAATGGATCAAAGACCTAAACATAAAGCCTCAAAATATAAGAATCTTAGAAAATGCAGGAGACACCCTTATGGAAATTGGAACTGGCAACCAATTCCTATTCTTAAGGCCAATATCTTAAGAAATAAGAAAGTTAAGTGGGATCTCATCAAACTAATGAATTTCTGCAAAGCAAAAAAAAAAAAACTATCAAGAGAGCAGGGAGATAGCACACAGAATGGGAAAAGATATTTGCCAACTGTATATCTGACAAAGGCCTAACATCTAGGATCTACAAGGAACTCAAATGTGCCAAAAGGAAAAAAACAGCTCCATTAAAAAGTGGGCAAAGACATGAATAGATACTTTACAAAAGAAGGTAAATGGACAGCCAACAGACACATGAAAAAGTGCTCAGCTTCACTCATTATCAGAGAAATGCAAATCAAAACCACATTGAGATAACACCTAACCCCAGTAAGAATGGCCACCATTCATAAAACAAACAACAACAGATGCTTGCGAGGATGTGGAGAAAAAAGAATGCTTCTACACTGCTGGTGGGATTGCAAATGAGTGCAACCTCTCTAGAAGACAGTGTGGCAATTTCTGAAAGTACTAGAAATTGACCTTCCATATGACCTAGAAATTCTCCTATTGGGAATATACTGGAGGAACTCAAATCATTCTACAAAAAAGATACCTGCACATGTATGTTTGTTCCAGCTTATTCACAACAGTAAAAACATGGAACCAACCATGTCGCCCATCAAAGCTGAACTGGATTTTAAAAATGTGGTACACAATGGAATATTATGCTGTCGTGAAGAAAGACAAACGTGAATTTTGCAGCAACTTGGATGGATTTGGAATCAATCATACTCAGTGATCTATCACAGAAACAAAGAACAGAGTACCATATGCTCTCACTCATAAGCAGAACTTGAACAATTATAATACTATAAGAAAGGGATTGGCAGTAGTGGGAAATTCCCAGGGGAGGGGGGTGGGATTGGCAGTTGAGGGAAACTGCTAGGGGAGGGTGGAGCATACCTCATCAACAAGGGTACCTGCATAATCAACGTTTGTATACCTATCCCAGAATTGTATCCCACATCTTTATAATAAAAAAATTAAATGAAAATTAAATGAAAAACAATCCATACACAGAAAAAAATTAGCTTATATAAATTGATTGCAAGTACACTCAAAATTTGGATTATGCATTATTTATGCCAGGTATTAAAAATATGTTGAAGTAATAAAAGTGAAATACAGTAATAAAAAGTAAACATATAGATTGCTAGTTAAACGTAAAAAATTATTATTTTTTGTTTTGTTTTGTTTTTTTGAGTTGGAGTCTCACTCTGTAGCCCAGACTGGAGTGCAGTGGCTGCTCCCAGCCACTGCAGCCTTGACCTGCTGGGCTTTGGCGATTCTTCCACCTCAGCCCTCCAAGTAGCTGGAACTACAGGCGCGTGCTACCACGCCTGGCTAATTTTTTGATTTATTGTAGAGACGAGGTCTCGCCAAGTTGCCCAGGTGGGTCTTGAACCCGGGGGCTCAAGCAATCCACTCACCTCAGCTTCCAAAGTGCAGGATTGCAGGCTGAGCCACCAAGCCCGGTGTAAAACATTATTTTAAAAAACAATTGTATGCTGGTGGGCCGGGCATAGCTCTGGAGCTGGCTTCTCAGGGCGCGGGCCGGAAGCCAAGCAAGCGCGGAGCAGAGCGGGCAGGTGTCGGCAGCGTGGAGCCTGTGGAAGCTAAACGATAATAAGAGTATCTGTGGAGAATACTGGAAGCTCAGTGGATTCAAAATCCATTAAAAATTCAGAAACAAAGATCATACATGGAAGTAAATCAATGGATACTGGAATATCCTTGGACAATAGCTACAAAATGGATTATCCTGAAATGGGTTTATGTATAATCATTAATAATAAGAACTTTCATAAAAGCACAGGAATGGCGGCTCGCTCTGGTACAGATGTAGATGCAGCAAACCTCAGGGAAACATTCATGAACTTGAAATACGAAGTCAAGAATAAAAATGATTTGACCCGTGAAGAAATTATGGAAGTAATGTACAATGTTTATAAAGAAGATCACAGCAAAAGGAGCAGTTTTGTTTGCGTGCTTCTGAGCCATGGTGAAGAAGGAGTAATTTTTGGAACAAATGACCTCTTGACTTGAAAAAAATAACAAGTTTTTTCAGAGGGGATTACTGTAGAAGTCTAACTGGAAAACCCAAACTTTTCATTATTCAGGCCTGCCGAGGTACAGAACTGGACTTTGGCATTGAGACCGACAGCGGTATTTATGATGATATGGCATGTCAGAAAATTCCAGTGGAGGCCGACTTCTTGTATGCATACTTCACAGCACCTGGTTACTATTCCTGGCGAAATTCAAAAGATGGGTCCTGGTTTATCTAGTCACTGTGTGCCATGCTGAAACAGTATGCTAACAAGCTGAAGTTCATGCACATTCTTACCCGGGTTAACCGAATGGTGGCAACAGAATTTGAGTCCTTTTCTTTTGACATTACTTTTCATGCAAAGAAACAGATTCCTTGTATTGTGTCCATGCTCACAAAAGAGCTATATTTTTATCACTAAAGAATTGATTGGTTGTTTGGGGTTTTTTTAGTTTATGCCAAGTGAGAAAACAGTGTAACTGGTTCTGTATTTCCCCCCTCATTTAAATCTAGCTTAATGACTCAAATGGTACTTTGAGACATACCACTTTCATAGAGTAGAACCAATACAAAGCTACCTCAAACTCAGTCAGGTAGTCAAAAGTGAATTTGATTAGGAGTAAGTAAAAATGAATAATGGTGCAGTCATGAGAAGAAATGTTTGTAAATTTATAGCTTTCATAATTTACAAGTTTTAGTGATGCTATGCCATGAATTTTCAAGTAATTATGAAAAAGTTAAAATTGCAATAATGAATTTTAATGATATCCTTCCACTTGAGACTGTGCATTCTAGTTTTTGTCAAACTATAGAAATGATTATATGGAGGTACATAGGGATCCATGGGTATGAGCAAAGTTTCAAACCTTTAATTTAAAAGGTGTATACAAAGATGAGTCAACTCCATTTTTATTTGAGATACGCTTTATTTGAGATTATGATTTTGTGGTATTTGTCCTGAGCATGTCTTTCGTCTTAAAAAGAAATCATGTTTCATATTGAAAAAGAAACTGAAGGTTTTATTTGAGAAAGAGCGTGAGCTGAGCAAATGAAGTTGACTGTTTTAAAGCTAAAACACAACATTTGCAGAGGGATGGAGTTATAACTAAGGTGCTGAAATGCAGCTGATCTACCAGCATAAATATCTTCTGACTTGTTCCTGTGCAACTCAGTTGAGTTTTATATACCAGCAAAATATTTGCAGAGCTATCATGTATAAACCTCAAGCTATTGATTATTAGCAGAATAATATGAAAAAAATTCTGTAGGAGCATATTCAAATACAAATTACATAATGAATAGTAGGATGTGAGGAAAGAATAAGCAATTGATGGGCTGAGCTCTCTGTAATTGGGGAGCAGATGATTTGAGCCTGAGCAGAATCATGGCACAGCCTGTTCCACGGTTGTAGACAGACCATGCCTTCAGAAAAGGCCACCAACTGGTTTCTTCCTGCATACTGGTGCGTGGCGAATGCCCCCAAGGCACGAATCACCAAGTAAGAAACTTCCAAAATGGAAATTTTCCAAAGGTGGTGAGTCACAATAAAAATCATAGTGCTCTTTGTAGTAAAATGTTTAATTAAGCATGTTAAGTTATTTCTATTGAAGTTTACAATCAAAGGAAAATAGTAACATTTTATACTGTTCACTGTAATAAAAGGATCATGGCACACAGGACTGTAGCCTCATCATTCAGTCGGAGCCTCTCTGGTGCATGGGAAGCTGAAGGCCGGAGCTCAGGACTTAGCCGGGGAGGGCGGCTCGAAGTGTCCTCATGCACGGAGGTGTGGGCAGGTTCTGCACTATCATGTCTCACAGACTTTCAGTTTGACATTTCACATGAGCTTTCTTTTTGCTCAAAGAAAGGAAGCCACATTTATAAATGACAGCCATTTGTTCTGACTAGATCTGTAACATTTTCTAAGTAAATATAGCATGTGATGGTATCTTAGGATGTACTTCTGTGTGACAATTTTATAAAAATTTGTTGTTTTGCAATTTTATTTCAAAATATACATTTAAACTTAAAATTAAAAAAACAACAATTGTAAACCTGGTATCAAAATAAAGAAACAATAAAACAACAAAGAAAACTATAGGCCAATATGATAAACAGAGATACAAATATTCTCAACAAAATGTTAAAAATTATATCCACCAGCACATCAAACATATGATACACCATGATCAAGTGGAATTTGTACCAGGAATGCAAGGATAGTTCAACATACACAAATCAATAATGTGATGCATCACATTAACAGAATGAAGGACAAAAACCATATGATTATCTCAAAAGGTGCATAAAAAGCTTTTAATAAAATTCAACATTCCTTGATAATCACTCTCAATAAACTAGGCATAGAAGGAAAATACCTAAAAATAATAAAATCCATATACTACAGACCTACAGCTAACATCATACTGAATGGGAAATTTGAAATTCTTTCCTCTAATGTCTGGGACAAGACAAGAATAATAATCTCCTTGAGAAAGAAATCAAAAAGTAATTCCATTTACAATAGCTACAAAAAATACTGAGAAGTAAATCTAAGGAGGTGAGGGATCTCTTCATGAAAAATTATAGAATACTGACAAAAGAAATGGAAGATACCACAAACAAATGGAGGAATATCCCTTGCTCAAGGATGGGAAGAAACTAAAATGACCATTCCAATGTCATTCTTCACAGGATTAAGGAAAGCAATCTTAAAATTCATATGGAACCACATACACAAAAAAATCCAAATAGCCAATGCAATTCTGAGTAAAAAGAACAAAGCTGAAAGCATCACATTACCTGACTTAAAAATGTAATACTAAACTATAGTAACAAAACCAGAATGATATTGGTATAACATAGACACGTAGACCTATAGAACATAATAGAGAACCCAGACATAAAGTCACAAAAGTCACATATTTATAATCAAATGATCTTTGACAAAGACTATGACAACTTACACTGAAGAAAGAATGTCCACTTCAATAAACAGTGCTGAGAAAACAGTCGAGCACATGAAAAATAGTGAAACTTGATTCCTAACTGTCACTGTCAACTCAAAATGGTTTAAAGATTTACACATAAAATTTGAAACTGTAAAAACACTAGAGAAACTTAGGAACATCTCTCTCCTGGACATTGATTAGGTAAATAATTTATGACTAAGATTTCAAAAGCATAGTCAACAGAAACAAAAATAGACAAATGGAACTATATTAAGCCAAAAAGCTTCTGCACAGCAAAGGAAACAGTTAACAGAGTAAAAAAACAAACTATTGAATGATTCATTCTACAAGGACCAACTACCCAGAATATACAAGGAACTCAAACAATGGAGTAGCAAAAATAATCTCATGATAAGTGGGCAAAGGACATGAATAGACACATGTCAGAAGAAGACATACAAGTAACCAACAGATATGTGAAAAAATGTTCAACATCCTAATGGTCAGAGAAATGTAAATCAAATCTACAATAAGATATTCTCTCACCTCAGCCAGAGTGGCTATTATTAAAAAAGACAAACAACAACAAATATTGGTGAGGATGTAAAGGAAAAGGAACTCATGTACTCTGCTGGTGTTAATGTAAACTAGTTTAACACTATGGAAATTTCTCAAAAACCTAAAAAATAGAATTACCATTTGATTCAGCATTCACACTACCAGGTATCTACACACACACACAAAATAAATTAATATATGCCTGCACTTGCAGGTTTATTGCAGCACTATAACAAAAGCAAAGATATGAAATCAACCTGCATATCCATCAATGGATGAATGCATGAAGAAAATGTGAGATATATACATATATCCACACACAATGGATAGTATTCAGCCATAAAAAAATAAGAAAATTATGACATTTGTAGAAACATGGATGGAACTGCAAGTCTTTATCTTAAGTGAAATAACTAGGCACAGAAAAAGAAATATCATATATTCTCACTTACGTGGGAGCTAAAAAACTTGAACACATGGAGCTAGGGAATGCAAGGGTAGACAACAGAGACTGGGAAGAGTGAGGGAGGAAAAAGAGAGGATGAAACAAACTAAATTGACGGGTATGAACATATAGTAAGAGAGAAGACGTGGATTCGATATTTAATAGCAGAGTAGGGTGACTACTCAACAGAAATGTATTGCACTCAGGTGATGGACAGGCTAAATATTCTAATTTTGTCACTACACATTATATACTAGTAACACAATTTCTCATGTACCCCATACATTTGTACAAATAAAAAAGGGAAAGAGAAAAAAATACTTGAAGAAATAATAGCTAAAAAATCCCAAATTTGGTAGAAAATATTAATTTATTAATTCAAGATGCTCAACCAGTCTCAAGTGTGAGAACATACATAGAACTTCAGTCATATTTCTGATAGTAAAGAGAAAATATTGAAATAGCAAGAGAAAAAATGATACATTATATAGAATGGAAAAATGATACAATTAATGACGATATTCTCACCAGAAAATCTGTAAGGCAAAGACATGGAAAATGACATATTGACCAGGTTTGGTGGCTCAGCCTGTAATCCCAGTGCTTTGGGAGGCCGAGGTGAGTGGATTGCCTGAGCCCACAGGTTCAAGACTCGTTGGGGCAACTTGGCAAGGCCTCATCTCTACAATAAATTTTAAAAAATCAGCCGGGCATCATGGTAGTGTGTGCCTGTAATTCTGGTTACTCAGAAGGCTGAGGCAGAAGGATCGCCGGAGCCTGCTGGGTTGAGGCTGCGGTGGCCAGGAGCGTGCCACTACACTCAGGTCTGGGCGACAGAGTAAGATTCCAACTCAAAAAAAAAAGAAAGAAAATGACATATTAAAAGATGAAAGAAAAAAATGTCCTGATGACCAGTAATGTTATATCCAGCAAAAGTGCACATCAGTAATAAAGGAAAAATGAAGACTTTTTCAAATAAATAAAATTGTAGATAATGTGGGTAGCAAACCTGTGCTGTAAGAAATATTAAGAGAAGTCCTTCAGGCTGAAAAAAATGAAACGTGGCTATACAAAAAAGAATGAAGAGCACTGAAATAGCAATCATTGGTTAAATACAAAAGATTATACATTTACTTTTTTATTTTTTAATAATAGCATATGCATGGGTAAAAAGTATGATCATGTGTTGATAGACTTACATAAATGCAATTAAACCATTGCAAATTTTCTTAACTGAAAATAATTCAATGTTTAGTTTAAGTAGATTGTGCTAAAATACATGCTGCAATCCCTAGACCAACAACTAAAAAAATAGGTGCAAGAAAAATAGTTCTAGAGTCAATAGTTATAACCATGTTATACTTGTGTCCACACACATCTTGCTCATCTTATTTATTTACTTATTTATTTATTTTTAATAGAGACAAGGTCTCACTATGTTGGTCAGGTTGGTCTCCAACTTCTGGCCTCAAGCAATCCTCCTACCTAGGCCTCCCAAAGTGTTAGGATTACAGGCGTGAACCATCATGCCTAGCCTTACTCATCTTTTAGATATTCCTAACCAATGCAGGGCACCACAAATAGTATGGTAATTAAGGGGGAGGGTTCTTGAGTCTGCTTGTCACTGTGTCTCCAACTGACTGTGCTTTCCTTCCTTCCTTCTTTCTTTCTTTCTTTTCTTCCTTCCTTCCTTCCTTCCTTCTTTCTTTCCTTCTTTCTTTCTTTTTCTTTCTTTCTCTCTTTCTTGTTATTTATTTATTTATTTATTTAAAAAAGATGTGGGTACAATTCAGAGTTAGATATGCAAATGTTGATTATGCAGGTACCCTTGTTGATGAGGTGTGCCCTTCCCTCCACTAGCAGTTTCTCTCAACTGCCAATCCCTTTC